AAAAAATCTTTTGTTTCCCTTAATGCCCAAGAGAGGATGACTTTTCAAAACCACAGTGCTAAAACACTAAGGGTCTATAAGAAGAAAAAGTAGAGGAAAAAAATTATGATTGCCGTTTTCCTAAGAATTTGGTTTTGTTTTCTGAACCTACAATGAGTCCTGATGTTTATAATTCCCATCAGGAAGACACACTCCTTTGGCATCTAGGTCCCTGGCCAGACAAAACTAAGAGGTAAGGCCCTCCCATTTACTCTGAATTCTCTTTGGAGAAGCAGCCCTTACTAGGAGAATTGATAGGACTGTGAATCATAATGCAGTGAAAGACCTCTCCCTGCCTGGCGAAGGGTCCCAGTTATGTGCTTCTCTTCAGATGTCTGATCCCTCTTCCAACCTAGAGACAGTGAATGAGGATTTTGATGGAGGAGACTTTCATAGTCCCTCTCAAAAACATCCAAATAATTTAGAATCTCTCTCATTGCGTGACCCTTCACATTTAACAGAGGGCTTTATACTACATTGGCCAGGCACCTGTATTCTGGGGCTGTGCTGTCCAGTATGGTAGCCACCAGTCATGTGTGGCTATTGAGCACTTGAATATGGCTCTATGAACTGATCGTGCTGTAAGTATAAACTACGAACCAGATTTTGAAAACTTAGTATGGAAAAAAAGAATGTACAAAAATTATCTCAGTAATTTTTATATTGACTATATGTTGAAATAGTATTTTGGATTTATTGAGTTAAATAAATATATTATTAACACCTACTTTTTATTTTTTTAATTTGACTACTACAATATGTAAAATTACATAAGTGGCTTGCATTATATTTCTATCGGACAGTGCTGCCTCTAGGGTGATCTTGGTTCTAAAGACTGAATTTCCTCTTCCTGAATAGTTATTTTCCGAACTAGGATATGCACTGAAGTATCTTCAGAAAATTCCTGAACTTGCTTCCATTTATAGAAGTGGCATGATATAATAAGAAAAAAACACCTGGGTTCTAATCTCTTTTGTTATTAGCTAGTAATGAAGGTAGTCAAATCATTTTAACTCTTCGAGTCTGAGTTTCTTTATATAAAATGAAAGGGTTGAACCATGTTCCCTCTATGGTTTCTTCCAGTTCTATGATTATTTGATCTTTATTATGTTAAAATTTCTCCTAAAATAGTTTCCATGGATAAGATGGACTTAGCTTTTTATTATAATGTATATATAATTTTAAACCTTCTTTTGAAGATACAAAAATAAATATTTCCCTTGTAAAAAAGATGTTAAGCTAATTTATATAACCCTGTATATGCTAACATGCACATTCCTTTTCTGTGCTGTTATTGCAGGTTTTGCTGTGAAAACTATTTTGTTAATGATAGTTTTTCCATTTTTAAGGTTCAATCTATGGCTATGATTATTATTTATTTTATATCATTGGTCCCCTAGCTTCTCCTCCACAGATCATTCTTCTTCCTCAGACATTATGTCTTCTATACTCTCTTTTGGCCATTTCTGGTTATATTTCATGTCTTATTCTGGCCTCAGTCTCTTTCAGGACTGAGTTCTCTTGCTATCTCTTACCAGCAGCCTGGTCATATTCTTCCCCTCCTTTAGACTCAGGGACTTCCTGCTTTCCTCATCCCTTTCACAACAATTTCATCTGAAAAGATACAATAATAGGTCCACTTCTGGGTAAATTCCAGTCTTTGCAGTTACTTTTTATTTGAAGGGTGGGGGGCAGTGAGGTGGTGGGAAGGTAGGTCTTTACATTTTGAGCCTCTATTCCTATTAAATTGAGTGGAGTGTTTCCATTCTATATTTAAATTTTCTTAAACTCCATCACATACTTATGCTTTGCAAGCCCTGCCCACACCCATTCTTTCTTGTAAAAATGTGGCTTTAAACACATCTACAGTTACCTATGCAAGTAGGTATGTCTGCTCAAGAAACCTACTCAACCTTAACTTTTGGACAGAGTTTGAGGAGCACTGAATTTAGAGTAAGGCGATCTAGGTTCATTTTCTTAGCTGCATTTGAACCAGATGTATCAGCTTGGACAAATCCATTATCTGAGGTTTAGGTTCCTAATCTGCTAAAAGGAGCTATAATAACCGCTGTTACACATGTCACATGGTACTTCTGAGCATCTAAGGAAATAATGATCATGAAAGTACTTACTAATGGTAAAGCGTCCCTCAGCGTGAGTGATATTGGGCATCCTGAAACTTCATTAAATTTTGTTCCTACTTCCATTTTCCCTTCTTCGGGTCAGAATAAATACATTGACCCATTAAGCTTAGACAAGAATAAAGAATATGACTTAAGGTTTCCAGAATAATGGAAAGTTTCAATTTAAGATGAAATGATCATTCTCTTCATTCAATCATAATGAGAGCTATGAAACACTTATTAGAACTAATGACCTAAGTTACTTTACACAATTCATCTAGGAAACTTAATTTGTCAAGAAACAGCAAATGGTTTTTTGAAATTCAAATGGAACCTGGATGGAGGGATTGGGGTCAATGTTAAATTGATAGTCATTTTAAGGAGCAAATTAATGTTAATGTCATGAAAGTGGAGTGCAAAGAAAAGATTGTAAGAATTAGATGTTAATCAACTGGATGTTTGAGAAAGAATGCTGTTCCTAAAATTGAGGCAAAAATATTTTCCATATACAAATTCAAGGGCTTAAAAATATTACCCAAGGAATCAATAGAAAAAATCGTGTGTGTGTGTATACAAGTATATATATATTCTTTCCTGTTCTTTGAAATCAGAACTATGTGAGACAGAGCTTCTGTCATCTATTATTCTCGGAATTCAGTGAAAAAAGAAAAGAATTTGGAATCAGTCACTCGGTTCCCTCCTTCCCCTACTTAGGAGCTATTTCCTTCTCCTCTCCTGTCTGCTCCGCCTAACTGGCAAAGTTGTGCTAAGGACCAGGGCGCTGTGTGGGAAAAACAGGGACGGTTGCTGCTATCAGGACGACCAGAGCAGCTGTGCGCGGAGCAATGCAGTTTGAAACCCCCTAGCTCTTCTGAGGTGAAAGACACCTTGGCGAAGAGAAAGGCAGTTCTCTTGACCCCACGTCTGTTTCATTTCTGATGCCACTTCAATCGTGGGTAAGAGGGAGGAGCGCCGGGGGAATTTAAGAAAGTTGGATACAGGGGAGAATGGCTGGCTCAAGAGCATGCGACTCTTGATCTCTGAGGTTGTGAGTTCGAGCCCCACCTTCGGTGTAGAGATTACTTAAAAGTGGAATCTTAAAAAAAAAGAAAAGAAACTTGGACGCAGGCCGCCTCCCCGCCTCCCCTCTTCCTTCATTCAGCAAATACTTCTCCGACCCCTGTTGGGTGGCTGACCCTGGGCTCGTGAGAGCCGCGAAGAGGAAAGGACCCAGAACGCGGTTTCCGGGAGGACGCCGTCTAGGGAGCACACACCGGACGCGTACCTGCGGGTCGGCGAGGACCGGCGAGGACCTGGGAGCACCGCCCCCCCACTCCCGACAAAGCCCCTCCGCGGCTGCTGCCCAGCCCATCCCCCCGCACCCCTCCACGGCGGCGGCGGCCCGTTCCGGCCGCGTCCCCATGGCAACCAGTGGCGGCGCGGCGGGCAGGCGGCTGGCCGGGAGGGAGACGCCCTAACGGCCTCGGCGGCCGCGCGGAGGCCGCGCCGGGGTGGCGGGAGCGCGGCGGCGGGCGGCGGGCGGCGGGGCCTCCCGGGGCGGGCCGGGCGGAGGGTGACCCCGGCGTTCCTGCTCCGGGGACCTCAGACCTCTCGGGAGAGCGCGGCGCGGCGCAGGTAACCCGCCCCGGCCGCCGGGACCCGGTCTCGACCCCCCTCGACCCGGCGCCTCGGCTGCGCTTGCCCAGGGCGGGGGCGAGGGACCCCTGCAGGCCGGCTGCTGCGCGGGGGGCCGGGCGTGAGCCGTGCGCGCGCCGGCGGGGCGAGCCCGGGATGTCGGGAGGGTAGCGCGCCGGGTCTCCCTGAGTCGGCAGGTGTAGGTGCTAGCTGTGTGGCCTCGGGCAAGTCACCTAGCTTGTCTGTGCCTCGGTTTCCCTGACGTTAAAGTGAGTGACTGGAAGAACCTGCAAAATCAGTTTATTCATTTGTCCCTCCTGGTCAAGTTTTCGTTCCCTATCCCTGCTCCTCACCCCTCTGCTCCACACACAATCCCAGAGCCTCTCTTTAATTCCTTTAATTTGGAAGTGACGTGAGCCCGGGAGTCTCCCTCCTCGTTCTGCCATCTTGAATGCTATTTAATTGACTTTAATTCAGTGATTCAGAGGAGTTGAAGTTCTTTTCAATACTTTGTCCATTTATTCTCATGTATTTTTTTTAAATTAAAACTTTGTTGCTGGGGAAAACGTTTTTCTTTCCTTTTCTTTCTTTCTTTCCTTCCTTCCTCCCTCCCGCCCACCTTTCTTTCTTTCTTTCTTTTCTTTTCTTTCTTTCTTTCTTTTTCTTTCAGCAAGTACCAACATCCAGGTAAACAGGTGCCCACAAAGCCATTGAGGAATTGTAAGATTTATATTTTTAGGCAACTCTTAACCTGTTTGTCATAAATCTCATGGTATATTTATTCTAACAAAACCCAGAAAGGGCCAAAGAGAGAATTTACTTAAAATAAAGGTAAACTTTTAAGGGACAAGAAAGGAAAGTTTGAGAACATTTAGCTTTAACTCCTCTACAATAGGAATTCTCTTTTACTCATCTCATGTGATGAGCCCTTTGCAAAGTACCTGGCACCAAGCTGTTCTTCAAGAAATAGTGAATGAATGCTCATATCAGCCAATGTCATGTATTTCAACTCATGACTGAACCAATGTCATAAATGCAGGGGGGAATTTTTAAAAAGGGCCAAATTTCTGCATTTTGTATAACCAAGAGCTGCTACGCTTGGAGAAGTGCACACAGCATGGTTTGCCAATAGCAGAATTTTCTTGCTTTCTAGGTGAATAAAGTAAACGTTTTAGTAATCTAGATCATTTTCTCCCCTAATAGATTAAAAATCAAGAAACAAATCAGATGCAGCACTTTCTTGACATGGAGAACCAAGCCCATAATATGATGGGGTAAGTGTTGATTGAAAATTTTCAGTTTAATAAGTGGGTCCTTAACTATCCCCCAAACTCCCAGACGATACATGAATTTCAAAATTGAATATTAATAGAAGGATGTACCAATTACTTTTGGTGAGGTGGATGGAGGGAAATTCAAGTGATTCTAATCAAGAACCTATGGTATGTATCTTTCCAATTTTGACTATGGGTCTGTATTGGAAAATCACCATTTTCCAACTTTTAGTGAGTTTTTCCAGTGGTTTAGGGTGATGGGTGCCCACACAGCCCAATGTGCTCTTGGGTTCCCAGCAGCTCCCACCCAGTTTGCTTCTTTCTTGCTGCACTGAGTGTCCCAGGCTTCCCTCCACATTTGTCCTTAAGGCTGAACTCAACCCTTAAACAGCCTCAGAACAGATTTGGCTCCTACAGACTCTACAGAGAACAAACTGATGGTCACTGGAGGGCAGGTGGGTGGCGGGATGGGTGAAACAGGTGATGGGGATTGAAGAGTGCATTTATCATGATGAGCGCTGGGCGAGGTATGGAACTGCTGAATCACTATATTGTACACCTGAAACTAATATAACACCATATGTTAACTATCCTGGAATTAAAATTTAAAAACTTAATAAAATTAAAAAAAAAGATTTGGCTCCTCAAACAACAATAAGAACTGAATATTTTACCAAAGGTCTCATGAAGAGATAAGGGACAGAATTTGTACAGCATTCCCCACTGCAAAAAATTAAATTCCCTTTCACAAATACCTGTCCCCACCCCTCCCATGCCACCACGACCACCAAGGTTCCTTCTCCTGTTGTTTCATTAGTCAGCAGGCCACTGGCTAACCCCAAAGCTGGGGGCCGGGCAGAGGAGGGGACAGGTGAGGGGCGAACACGGGAGGGACAGTGGGTAGGAGTGGTACTCTAGTGTGTAATCTTGACTGTGACTGACTTGCACTCGTCAAACCTCTCCAAGTGTCTCCCTTTCAGTTATTCTGCTCAGACCATGACTTTGACATCATGCTAAAGGAAAGCTGCACAGGTCTGGGTAAGAATAACGGTCGGTTTTGTAAATCCTGCTGCATACTCCTCCTTACAACAGCCCGGCTGCTATTGTTCTCATTGTATAACTAAGAGAATCGAGTGTACTAATTAGATTATAGTCTAAGGTCTTGTAATAAGGAGACCCCGAAATACAGTGGTTTAAATAAGATTGCAGTTTATTTCTCTTTCATGGACAAGTTTTGGGATAAGCAGCCCAGGACTGGGAGGGCAGCTCTGCCCTCCTCACGGCATGATTTTTATGCCTGGACCCAAAGTGGTGGCTTCAGTTTCCACTGCTGTGCTCCTGCCAGAGCGAAGGGGGAAGGGCAAGAGGAGAGGAGATTTGGTTCCTTTTTGGAATGTGCCCTGGAAATAGCAGGCCTCACTTCTAGCCGTTTCCTGTGGGCCAGAACTTCGTCCCAGAGCTACAGCTAGCTAGCTGTAAGAAAGGGTGGAACATGTGGTCTCTAACTGAGCAGCTCGATGGCCTAGGTGATAAAAGGAAGAAGAATGGATGTTGGTGGACAGTTAGCAGCCTCTGCCACATTTCTGAGCTGAGAAAGGTAGAAAGAAAGAGAAATAAAGCAGCAGCTTGCCCCAGAATGTACAACTGGTTAGTGGAAAGGTAGGATTTGAATTCGGATACATGTGGCTCTAATCCCTGCATGCTTTGCTCCACAGGAAATGGGTGGCCCTGAGATGTGGGAGCAGCCTGCGTGCTCTCTGTGGCAGAGCCCGGTTAGGATTCGGGGCTGAGCGGGTGTTAGGTCCCTGCTGTGATGACGGCACTGAGGGCTAAGAGGCAGATTGAAGGTCTCAAACCCGAGGCTTGATACCAGATACCACTTGACTCCTGCAGATCTGAGGCCATGGAGACTGCTATTTGTCTTCATTCATTCTTTTGGGGGAAAAGTGTAGAATATTGAATGCATAGCAAGTACAACACTAAGTCTCTTGGTTTATACAAAGATCACTAAGAAACAGACCTTAAGGAGCTTAGAATTTAGTGGGGAGTCACAGAGCTTGTTTGGGTACAATGTAACCACAAGCCAGAAGTGAATGAGAATCACTAGAGGTTTCCCTGAGGAACTACCCTACTCATCCCAGCAGACATGGGACCAGACATTGTCTACCATGGTCTACAAAGCATGAAGAGCCAGGCTGGCTTTGCTTCTGTCCTGCATGCTATTGAGATATATGTAAAAATCTAGATCATAAAGACAATAAAACCTCATCAGCTTTCACAGAGGTGTGTTACAGAGCTTATCAAACCATGTCACCTACATACACAGTAACATTTTGTGGCGCAACTTCATCTAACAGATATTTATCTAGAGTCTACTATAAACCATTGATTGGTCTCAGCACCAAAAGAGAGCAGTGAACAAAACGAGGCCACTCCTCCAAGGGTTAGTGGGAGATACTAACATGTTTCATATGGTCATATGAAGAGAAACAAAGCAGGCTAAGGATGGGAGGTTGAATGGGGTGATCAAAGAAGGGTTCCTGGTCAGGTGGCTTTGGGGCAGAGATTATATTGGGCAAAGAGAGTTCCAGACAGTAGGAACAGAAAGTGTGAAGGGGTAAGGAGGGATTTTAGCCCAGAATATTCGTTGGGTGAGTCATTATGCTCTGACACCTGGGTTATCACAGGGTTTGATTTTAATTTTAAATCCATGATTTCCCCCAATTATAGGTGTTTGTATTTGTGCCATAATAATCAACTTAAACTCCTTCTAATCAAAACAGCCTTATCTGAGTTTGTCCTTTTCATTTGTTTTTAGAGTGTGTGCCCAGAACATAAATAATTACAGAATGAACAAATGATGTATTTGTATTGGCCTGTTAAAGAGAACCATGTCGGATTTTGCTTTGTTTACTTCTTAATTCCTACTCTTACTAGCTTGTCCTTGTATGATTTATTTTACTGATCTTGTACTCCTGATTTGTGAGTTGAAAAATCTGGTTCAGTTCTTTTTATGATTTCTGAATTTTATGATTTCTGAAATTTATGATTTCTTTAAGCTTCTCCTGAGCACAGCTCTGCTGTGGGCCATAGTATTAGTGTTTCCACTCTCATTTCCTAAATAGTCTGGTATTTCAACTTTGATTTCCTCCATGACTAATTTGAGATATTTAAGACATGTCACTTCTGGGGGGGGGGGTGTTAATTTTATATATATATATTTTTATTCTTATGTTAATCCCCATACATTACATCATTAGTTTTAGATGAAGTGTTCCATGATTCATTGTTTGTGCATAACACCCAGTGCTCCATGCAGAATGTGCCCTCCTCAATACCCATCCCCAGGCTAACCCATCCTCCCACCCCCCTACCCACTAGAACCCTCAGTTTGTTTTTCAGAGTCCATCGTCTCTCATGGTTCGTCTACGCCTCCGATTTCCCCCCGTCATTCTTCCCCTCCTGCTACCTTCTTCTTCTTCTTCTTTTTTTTTTTTTCTTAACATATATTGCATTATTTGTTTCAGAGGTACAGATCTGAGATTTAATAGTCTTGCACAATTCACAGTGCTTACCAGAGCACATACCCTCCCCAGTGTCTATCACCCAGTCACCCCATCCCTCCCACCCCAACCCCCACTCCAGCAACCCTGTTTGTTTCCTGTGATTCAGAATTCCTCATATCAGTGAGGTCATATGATACATGTCTTTCTCTGTTTGACTTATTTCGTTCAACATAATACCCTCCAGTTCCATCCACGTCGTTGCAAATGGCAAGATCTCATTCCTTTTGATGGCTGCATAATATTCCATTGTATATATATACCACATCTTCTTTATCCATTCATCTGTCGATGGACATCTTGGCTCTTTCCACAGTTTGGCTATTGTGGACATTGCTGCTATAAACATTGGGGTGCACGTACCCTTTCAGATCCCTACTTTTGTATCTTTGGGGTAAATACCCAGTAGTGCAATTGCTGGATCATATGGTAGCTCTATTTTCAACTTTTTGAGGAACCTCCATACTGTTTTCCAGAGTGGCTGCACCAGCTTGCATTCCCACCAACAGTGTAGGAGGGTTCCCTTTTCTCCGCATCCCCGCCAACATCTGTCGTTTCCTGACTTGTTAATTTTAGCCATTCTGACTGGTGTGAGGTGGTATCTCATTGAGGTTTTGATTTGGATTTCCCTGATGCTGAGCGATATTGAGCACTTTTTCATGTGTCTGTTGGCCATTTGGATGTCTTCTTTGGAAAAATGTCTGTTCATGTCTTCTGCCCATTTCTTGATTGGATTCTTTGTTCTTTGGGTGTTGAGTTTGATGAGTTCTTTATAGATTTTGGATACTAGCCCTTTATCTGATATGTCATTTGCAAATATCCACTCCCATTCTGTTAGTTGTCTTTTGGTTTTGTTGACTGTTTCCTTTGCTTTGCAAAAACTTTTTATCTTGATGAAGTCCCAATATTTCATTTTTGCCCTTGCTTCCCTTGTCTTTGGCGATGTTTCTAGGAAGAAGTTGCTTCGGCTGAGGTCGAAGAGGTTGCTGCCTATGTTCTCCTTTAGGATTTTGATGGACTCCTGTCTCACATTTAGGTCTTTCAACCATTTGGAGTCTATTTTTGTGTGTTGTGTAAGGAAATGGTCCAGTTTCATTCTTCTGCATATGGCTATCCAATTTTCCCAACACCATTTGTTGAAGAGACTGTCTTTGTTCCATTGGACATTCTTTCCTGCTTTGTCAAAGATGAGTTGACCATAGAGTTGAGGGTCCATTTCTGGGCTCTCTATTCTGTTCCATTGATCTATGTGTCTGTTTTTGGCGCCAGTACCGTACTGTCTTGATGATGACAGCTTTGTAATAGAGCTGGATGTCCGGAATTGTGATGCCGCCAGCTTTGCTTTTCTTTTTCAACATTCCTCTGGCTATTTGGGGTCTTTTCTGGTTCCATACAAATTTGAGGATTATTTGTTCCATTTCTTTGAAAAAAGTGGAT